GATTGTGTCTTCTTAATTTTTTCATTATGGAGAATGGAGATACAAGCTTTGAGAGAGAGAATGGAGAATCAAAGAAAATAGTAATCTCCGGTAGTCGGTTCGTCTTCTGTAAGTCTCTGGTGGGGCGTGATCATTCCTCTCCTTCTTCTACCAGATTGGAGCTATTTTATAGCAGCTAAGAGATCATCCTCCTGGAGATCATGACATATCCTCAAGGCTTCTTTATCGCAGCTAAGAGATTATTCTTGGTGGAGATCACGACTTATCCTCAACGGAAGGAGGAGGTTGGGGAGCTCTTCATGAAACGTGGTCAAAGATAGGACCGTTTCCTTTGGTGGTACAGATAAGCTTCCCGTGCTCTTCTCTTGGTGACGTACTAAGCAAGAAGTCTAAACGGCCTTGGACTGTCTTGGACTTGGTGGATTTGGACCGTTTCTTTTGGTGGTGCAGATAAGCTTCCCGTGCTCTCCTCTTGATGACATGCTAAACAAGAAGTCTAACCGGTCTTGGACTATCTTGGACTTGGTGGATTTGGACCGTTTCCTTTGGTGGTACAGATAAGCTTCTCGTGCTCTCCTCTTGATGACGTGGTAAGCAAGAAGTCTAACCGGTCTCGGACTGTCTTGGGCTTGGTGGAATCAAAATGAGGTTGGGCTCCTCAACTGGGGTTGGACTTTAACACATAAATTGGACTATTTGGGCTTAACCCATCATTTACCTACACTTGACAGGTGGTGTGCAAAACTATTTTTATGCATCATCAAACTCTTCAATTTTTCGTCTACAAACAAAGCTAGCCACTTGCAATTGGTATTTTTATGGGCTTAACTATAAAGTCATTGTGATTTGCAATGCCACTTGCTAGTAGCATTCTTCATTTTTAGAAAAAAAAAAAACTAAATGATAGTTCGGGTTGGAGTCACGGTGCAATAATTTTATGATATTATGGGTGCAAAATAATATTTTTTATCTTTAGGGATAAAATTAATAATTAAAAAACAAATTTGGGTGTAAAGCGTAATTCGTCCAAAAGAGAGTCTGAAACTGTCCACAGCCCAACAACATCTGAACGATGTCGTTCTCATTGTCTTCATCCATAAATTACCTTGACCTTATCCATCGGACCCCCGACCATCTCGCTTTTCACCTGCTCGTCCATTCGCTGTTTCGCGTAGCATCACCACCCGTCAACTCTCTCTCTCTCCGCCAAATCGCTTGAAACCTGCCCCCTGAAATCACTTGATTTCGCTACACCAATCTATTCTTCTTCTCTCCGTATCTCTCTCTTTCATAGATCCAAATCAGGCGTCAAACCCGTCAATTTCTCGACACTTAAGCGTTAATAGTCAAATCCCGGTGATTCTCATCGCGGCCTGAGCTCTGTTTTGTAGGTTTTTTTTTCCTAACATCTCTCCAGCGATCTAGAGTTTCAAAACTGCTCGTGTTTACAATTATACACAACCTAGGGTTTGATTAATTGACCAGGAAAAATTTGGGGATCAGGGCGTTGAGGACTGAATTGAATTGATGGTTCTAGGCAAGGAGGAATGCTCGATTATTGGAGATGATGATGGAAGGGTATTATTATCCATGGGACGCTACGGGAAGGTGAGCAAAGGTTACTCCGGTGGCACATGTGGCCGGTTCTCGATCCCACCATCTCGTCGTCTGTAGCCGCTACCACTGATTCCGCTTGCATACCCCCCGATTCTTTCTTTTTCTAAAGTATACTCTTCCATTCATTCCTGAACACATACATGTCTATTTGTTTATATGGATACGCTCGTAAGAATACTTGGTTTTGTGGAGTTTTAGCTGGTCTTGTTTAGTATTTGACATGAATTTTTATTTTGATATGTAATGTTTTCTTCATTCTATATCGTATGTGTAATCTATGTTATTATGCTCGATTTGTTTTTTGTTGGGTTTAATGAAAAAGCTACCTTTGACTATCGTGTGGGGAGTTACTTAAATTTGGTCTTTTGGTGAATTTATGAAATGAAGTGTCATGTGAAATTTGGGATTGGTTGTGATGGCTATTCCGCTGGATAAATTTTCTGAGCCTAATTGGCTTGCCTTCGAGTTTTGTTGTAATTTGTTTGGTACCCTTTTTGGACACATTTAATGCATTTTCACAAATTTTTAGATATTATTTAACTGTGTAGCAGTTTATATGTCAATGCCATATTCTACAAATTGTAAACTTTTTGAGCACCACTGGGGGAACATTTTTTTGGGATTTTACTGGTCAAAATTGCTGCACACCTTCTAGCAGATTTTTCTTTGGTTGTTTTGTTAGGTAGGTAATTTTTGCTGTTATATCATGACTGTGACCTTGATTGAAAGTCATGTCCCTGTTAATTGGATTGGTTGTTCTCACGGGTGGTCAGATATTGAAGTAGTCTGTGGATTTTTAGTGCTGTGACTGGGCATTTCCTAAATTGAGCACTTACTAGGTGTTTTATGTGCTAGACACTTCTTGTTTTTGATGTTATCATATCCAAACAGTTCAGCATATGTAGATGGTAGGCTGTGGAAAGCATATAACTTAGATTGCTCACTTATACTGCAATTTAGGGACTTAAATTCCATTTATGACTAGATGTCATCCACCCAACCTAATTAGATTTTAAAGGGTTAAAACATTTTCTCCATAAATTGTCTTCATCAATTGCCTAAGTCTAGGTATGAAGTGGACTTTATTCATATGTATTTTTCTAACCCCTTGTCTCGATTTGAACTTAGTTATAAAAAAAACTGAACATTCGAGGATTTGGGGTGGCATTGTTCCCTTGGCCTCTCAGTTTGGGTTAAATTTACCTGATGTTTCTGTTCTTACTACAGCTAAGTTTGCCTTGAGAATGTAAGCATCCTCTATAGGCTTTGTTTTCGTTTTCCTTTATTGTCTAGTCATCTTAATATTGCTTAGTTTTAATTTTGTATAAAGGTATTGATAAGTTATCCTTTAGTGGTCTAATCCTAATACCATAGATGTTAAAATCTTATTTCATATACATGTCATGATATACCTGTTTCAACAAGATTCATGGAAAGTTCAATTCTGTTTTTGTTTGTCTTAAAGATTGGTCTTCACATAGGATTTACTTGCTTGTAGGATGGACGCAAGATTCATGTTGGTGACTGTGCGCTGTTCAAGCCACCCCAAGATTCCCCCCCTTTCATTGGAATAATTCGTAGTGTAATATACGGCAAAGAGGACAGTCTTAGTTTGTGTGTTAATTGGCTATACCGACCTGCTGATATAAAGCTTGGAAAAGGTATTTTGCCGGAAGCAGCACCCAACGAGGTCTTTTACTCATTTCACAGGGATGAGATACCCGCTGTATCGCTACTCCATCCTTGTAAAGTTGCATTTCTTCGTAAAGGTGTTGAACTTCCTTCAGGGATATTCGCATTTGTGTGCAGACGAGTGTATGATATTGAGAACAAGTGTTTATGGTGGCTAACTGACCAGGATTATATTAATGTTAGTATTATGAGTTTCTTTTTTACTTTATTCTGAATATTCTCTTGGTTTTATCTGTAGTCTTCTTTTAACACAGGAACGGCAGGAAGAAGTAGACCAGCTTTTAGACAAGACACATCTGGAAATGTATGGATCAGTGCAGTCAGGAGGCTGTTCTCCCAAAACTTTGAATGGTGCAATAGGAAATCCACAGTCAAAGACTGGCTCTGACAGTGTACAGAATAGTCCATCATTTGCTTCTCAGGTTAAGGGGAAGAAGAGAGAGTGGGATGATCAAGGTTCTGATCCTCTGGAACGAGAGCACTCAGTGAAATCAGAGGATGCAGATTCTGGTAGGTTTAGACCAGAACAGATGTTGAAGTCTGATATTGCTAAAATAACCAATAAAGGTGGTATTGTAGATTTTGAAGGGGCAGCAAAGTTGGTGCAACTCATGCAACCTGAGGGAGCCGACAAGAAACAAGAATTGGCTTGCCGAATCTTGCTTGTTGATGTAATAGCTTTGACAGATAGGTTTGATTGCCTTGGACGGTTTGTGCAGCTCAAGGGCTTGCTTGTTTTGGATGAGTGGCTACAAGAGGTCCACAAAGGGAAGATTGGTGATGGTAGTGCTTCCGAGGAGTGTGACAAATTGACTGAGGAATTTTTATTTGCTTTGCTTCGTGCACTGGATAAGCTGCCTGTTAATCTTCATGCTTTAAAGACATGTAATATTGGCAAGTCTGTGAATCATTTACGCACTCATAAAAATTCTGAAATTCAGAAGAAAGCTAAAAGTTTAGTTGACACATGGAAGAAACGTGTTGAAGCTGAAATGAATATGCTTGATGCGAAGTCTAGTTCAAGTCGTGGTGGTTCTTGGCCTACCAAGTCAGCAATTTCTGAGGTTTCTCATGTGGGGAGCCATCGAACTGGAGGGTCCTCTGAGGCTGGTGTAAAGAGTTCCATCATACAATCCTCTGCATCTAAAACTACACCAGTTAAGTTTTGTTCTGGAGAACTAGTTGCCAAGTATTCAACGACAAGTCATGGCTCAACAAAATTACCAGAACCAGGGGCTTCTTGCACAAAGGATCCTATATCTGCTACATTGGTTGGTGGAGAAACTGCTGATCTGCAACTAACAATGATCAAGGAGGAGAAGAGCAGCAGTTCTAGTCAGTCTTGTTCGAGTGATCATGCCAAAACTGGAGAGTCATCTTTCAGGGAAGGTGCATGGAGTTCCACTGGTGGATCAGTGAATGTTAATAAGATGTCTGGTGGTGTTTCGCGCAGCCGGAAGTTGAGCAATGGCCTTCATGGTTCTGGTGCCTCTGTGGTTCAAAAGGAAATTAGTTCAGGAAGACTTGGTTCTTCACAAAGAAATATGGTTTCTGAGACACCAACTAGAGGAACATGTGAGGGAGGACCGGATGTGCCCCTAATGGATAATGGAAGCAGCCCACGACTTATAGTCAGGTTGCCAAACACTGGTCGAAGTCCAGCACTTAGTTCTGGTGGTGATTCTCCTGATGATCCTCCCTCTTCTACATTTCGCAAGGCTTCTCCTCCTGCACATTCTGACAAGCTTGAGCACCATGATCTAAAGGTGAAAGTACAAAGAGATGCCCAGCAGGCGACCAGTGCATCTAACACTAGCAGGAATCTATTGCAGTGCAGAGATATGCTGCCTGAGTCTGAGGATGTTAATGCACCATCTGCTGGTGCTTTCCGTAACAATCTGAACAGGGATGGTGAAGATGGTGAGAAACAGATGGAGGCATCTAAAGCTACTTGTTTATCATCCAGGATCAAACCCAAGCCTGGGAAATCATATGGAGCCTCTTTTAGTTCAATGAATGCTTTAATAGAAAGCTGTGTTAAATTCTCTGAAGCTAGTGCATGTGCCTCAGTTGGGGATGATATTGGGATGAATCTGCTGGCAAGTGTGGCGGCTGGAGAAATATCAAGAGCCGATGTCTCACTTTCGAGTTCTCCTGCGGCGTGTGAAGAATCCTGTTTTGGAAATGATGTAAAATTGATGCCATTGGATGAAGATAAAAGTCAAAGTGAGAATCAACATAATGATGGGGAAAATGGGGGTGCTATAGCAGACCAAAGTAATTCTATTAACCCTTTTGGTAGTTTCCTACATAATCCCAAGCCCGTGGTCACCAATTTGTCTGAAGACAGCAAAGTTGCTTCATTGGGATGTGAAGAGAAGACTGCAGAGTTCGCTGCACAAGACATTATAAAAAAGGGTGATGTAGAGGGTGAAGGACCGGATCAATATCATGAACGACAGAAGTGTGTTGCTACCCAGGCAAGAATCAACAGCATCTCACATTCCAAACTCAAAACGAGGAGTCCCTTGTTTGGTGAAGGTGCAAATGTTCATTGTACTGATGAAAAAGCTACTGAGAACTGTGTAGTAATGGCACAAGAAGCTGCTCCTTCAAGTGCAAAAGTTGAGAAGGAAGCTAATCAAGAACCACCTTATTGCTCATCTTCAGAAATTCCTGGGCAGGACAAAAATGCGGGGCACAGACAGACAAGTAGTTGCAACTTGACAGAGCAGAAGCCACTCCATGTGATTGGCAGAAAAAACGAGGATACTGCACCTCCCTCTGGTTCGTGTGATGTTTTGGATATGGAGTTGAAGGCTGAAAAACCTGATGAAATGAAGGCAGGGAGTAAAGTTGTGCAGTTTGAGAAAGAAAATTTGGATATAGGTTCATCTGCGGCGGAAAATGACAGTAAATGTGTTCCAGTTGAATCGGAAAGGAAGGAAGTTCTTAGTCACTGCTCTGTCGGATCAGCTTCCCATAAAGAGTCTTCTGTAATTCCCATGCAAGAAACAGAAGAGCAAGTGAAGTCTAGTGGATGTCAATCAGATGGAGTTGAAGCAAATGGGGCAGAAGAATCTGCAGCCCGGGCTAATCCTTTGTCCATATCTGCAGCAGCGGGTTCAGATGCTGCTGTAAAGCTGGACTTTGATTTGAATGAAGGTTTTCCTGTTGAGGATGGGAGCCAAGGGGAGCTTGTTAAGTCTTCTGTCGCCAGAAACTCATCCTCTGTTCATTTCCCCTCCCCACTACCACTTTCCATTTCTTCCATTTCTGGTAGCTTCTCTGCTTCAGTTACTGTGGCTTCTGCTGCCAAAGGACCATTTGTTCCTCCTGAAAACCCATTGAGAAGTAAAGGGGAACTTGGATGGAAGGGATCTGCTGCAACCAGTGCATTTCGACCAGCAGAACCTAGAAAGGTTCTTGAGATGCCTCTCAATACAGCTGATGCCACTCTCGTTGAGAACAGTACCAGCAAACAAGGTCGTGCCTTCTTGGATTTTGACCTTAATGTCCCAGACCAGAGAGTTCTTGAGGATTTGGATTCTCAAAACTCTGGACAGGTGACATGTTTGGAATCTGGGTCTCGTGATCGTAGTGGTGGGGGACTGGATCTTGATTTGAACAGAGTTGATGAAAGTCCTGAAATTGGGCAGTCCTGGGTTTGCAATAACTATAGATTGGAAATTCCACAATTGTTATCTGGTGGATTATCTTATACTGAATCAAATGCCGCTAAGGGCTTTGATTTGAATGATGGACCTGGCCCAGATGAAGTGGTCACTGAAACAGTGCAAGCCAAAAGCAATATGCCATTTCTGCCTACTGTTCCTGCCATCAGAATGAGTAATACTGAATTAGGAAACTTTTCTTCATGGTTCCAACCGAGCAATTCCTATTCAGCCCTTGCCTTTCCATCAATCCTTCCTGGTAGAGGGGAGCAGAGTCATCCCATTGTTCCAGCTTCTGGGTCACAAAGGATCGTGGGCCCTCCTACCGGCGGCACACCATCTTTTAATCCAGAAAACTATCGGGGACCAGTGCTTTCATCCTCTCCTGCGGCTGGCTTCCCCCCTGCTACTCCATTTCAATATCCAGGGTTCCCATTTGAGACCAATTTCCCTTTTCCATCCAATTCCTACTCGGGTAGTTCATCAGTGCATTTGGATTCTTCATATGGGGCCCCACTTTGCTTCCCTAACAGTTCCACTCAGCTGTTCGGAACTACTGGGGTGGTATCAGCCCACTACCCTCGACCCTATGTCATGCGTCTTCCAGGTGGTATACATAATGTTGGTCAAGAAGGTAAAAAATTAGGAAGTCACGGTCTAGACCTTAATGCTGGTCCTGGTGGCACGGATGTACGGAGAGACGAGAGGTTGCCTTCAGCCTTGAGGCAGCTTCCTGTTGCTAGTACGCAAGCCCTGGCGGATGAGCAAGTAAACATGTATCAGGTGGCTGGTGGAGTGTTGAAAAGAAAGGAGCCTGATGGCGGGTGGGATGGAGATAGGATTAGCTACAAGCAATCCTCATGGCAATAGCGAGGAGATTTGGCAAAATGGGTCAAACCTCGTTTGCCCTGGTGAGTCATCTTTTTAGAATTTTCTTGTAATTGAGATGCTGATAACAATGGGGGTTACATTGCATCAGATGCATTTGTAATGTTGTCTGAAGTTGAATATCAATCTGTGTTTTCCATGTAATCTGTAGGCATCCAGTGCGTCTTTATAGGGTGGAGCTATCAACACAACATGGTAAGAGTATGATACTTTGTGTTTTTTTAAAAAAAAATAATTTTTGGAAGTAATGTATATATGATGGCAATATAAAGAAGTATATTTGAAGAGGAAAATGAGTACATTCATATGCAATGCGAAATACATTGAAATTTTTGCATTTCCTTGTTTGGCCAAGCAATGCACTTCTTACTTCGGATGCAAGTTTTTATATTTAGTTTCATCTTATTGGATCTTTTTGAGTAAGATTTATCCTCATGTATGATCTGAATTGTACTTTAAAGGAAACAGTGATGTCTCTTCTGTGATTCCTGAAAATATTGGAAGTTTGTGCTTTCAGTGTTCATACTTGTCTGGTCAATCCTTCTGCAGCTCTTTTGTGGATGACAAACCCCCTGCAAGTTTTCTTCTAACTAGTTGGATGTTGGGGCAGTCTGGAAATGTGGTTCATTGTCCTGACGCATTTCCGCTGTATAAATCGGGTTTTTTTTTTGGGGGAGATTCCCTGCGTCCTGAGGCGTCCATGTTACTCGAAATGTGGCCACTGCAGATGAATCCTCTTATTGTATATATTTATATTTAACTTTATAAAGCATATGTGGAGTTACTCTCAGAAGCTTGAGAATTCTGACATGAACTGGGGCAAGACCAACAATCCAAACCCTTGACCAATCCTTTTGGTTATAGACTGGATTGGATGTAATTAAATGCATTGTGGTTCAGGTCACACTAACAATTTGTATCATATTTCTCATTATCTCCTCTTTTGAGTTGTGTGGAAATTATATCCTTCCAAATTCATATTTGAGGCATTAGAAAGTCATTTGTGCCATTTAGGTTGCTTGGTGAACACCCATTTGAGGACATGCTCACCAGGCGGAGAGAGGGAATGCTTTGAAGTGTTAGGAGGAGGGTACTTGGCAAGGGACGTCCATACCGGAACGGACAACTTTGGTTCGACCCTCGTCATTTCCTTCCACATGCTAATTTTGTATTCTAAAAAATATGAAAAATGCTATGACGTGGTAAATATCACTAGGGCCATACGAATATGACCTGACAAGCACATTCAGGTGGAAAATGGATGAAGTTCGAAGCCTTTGCACGACCAAAGTTTCCCCTGTCATCTCTTGTTCTTCTAACTCTTTTTGCTTCAACAAATATATATAAATCAGCCCTGTAGCACATGAAGTAAAGCTGTCGAGTAGTTCTATTACTTATAAAAAAAACTATAAAAATAGTTGGTTCAATGTCTGAAGTTTTTGAGATTGTGGAGTCTATAAAGAGTTAGATGCAATTTTATTCCCATGTTGAGAGGTTATTTTTGTCACTCCAACCTTTAACACTTATGTTACAAGGACGCTCCCAAAAAAAACCTATAAAAACCAAACTGATTTAGGAAGCTTAAGGACGTGCACAGGAGTAATGTTTGATTTAGGAAGCTTAAGGACGTGTACAAGAGTAAGGTTCGACATTATACTATTTTATTTTAATTCACCTGAACAACCGACAATTAGGCAAAATTGAAGGCATTCATGTGGATTTACTCGGATTACGAGCAGTTATGGAATTAGTTAATCAGGTTGTCTGGAATAATATATATATATATATATATATATATATATATATATATATATATAATATTATTTTTTTTTTGCAAAGGAAAATGCAGCATTCAATAGAGAATACAAATGTTAGCAAGGGATGCATACGTTCCCCATCTAGACTTTTACTCTCTCTCTCTCTCCACACAGACACACAAACACAACAATGAAGTCATCATCTTCATTCTCCAGAGGGCAACTTCAGCATTATATCAAAAAGGAGAGATTTTTCAAGTTGGGAAGGCCAGCTCCATTGTTAGTATGTTTAACCACACTTTTCAGTTTCTACATCGTCTACATTCTCAGAACCATCAATCCCACTATCAACCAGGTGTATGATCAGAGCAAATCCCCGATTCAGCCCCAAGATGGTAACTTCAGAACACAAGCCATCTTCTAATACTTCATTGAATTTGGTTATTTTGCAGTCCTCCCCCCCTCTTTCCCTTTTTTCAAGTGTCTGTTTTTTTGTATGATAATGCACATATGTTGTGTAGACAGCAGAAGGGAAAACTGTGACTTGTTTAAGGGCCATTGGGTTCCAGACATGAGGGGTTCACTCTATACAAATTTCAGCTGTCCAACCATCCCCTACTTAAGGAACTGTTTCAAGTATGGGAGGGAGGACACAGATTTCTTGCACTGGAGATGGAAACCAGATGGATGTGAACTTCCCCGTTTCGATGCCAAGGCCTTTCTAAAAATTGTTCAAGGGAAAACAATGGCTTTTATTGGTGACTCCCTTGCTCGGAACCAAATTGAGTCACTTCTATGTCTCTTGTCTCAGGTCAGTTAGTTCATGGAAATTCAAATTTTCTTTGTTTTTTTTTTGCTTCTTCTTTCAAATTGAATTCTTGAGCAATTAGATGCCGCCAATTATGCAACCACAGATGAATATAGATATGTGCAGTCGTCTGACCCTTCTAATAGAAAACATTCATGGATTCCCTTGCATGCGCATGTGTGCATGTGATTTGCCTGGTTTTGACTTTGAGTGACACAGATGCTTAAGCTACCAGTTATAATAGTTTATAATAAAGTATTTACATACCAAATTACCAATCACATAAACCTAACTAAATTATTTAAGGCCTAACATAAGATATATGTGCGTGCTGGATCTTGCACAATATAAACACGAGAACAGATCTCTCCCTTGGTGAACTCGAGTGAGTCAGTTGAGTGGTCAACCCTACTGCTTAAAACAGCATGTGAGGTCCGGTGGTAACCTGGAACGATAATGGGAGACTCTCGTGGATCAACGGANTAAAACAGCCTGTGAGGTCCGGTGGTAACCTGGAACGATAATGGGAGACTCTCGTGGATCAACGGAACGATCCAGTAAGGCTGAGGAAGGTTCCTGGAACAAAGAAAGACAAGTTAGAAGGGCGCCGGAGTGTTTTTCGGCGTATCCCCTCCAACGATCAAGTTAGTTTTTGAGAGAGAGTAAGAAGAAAACACTGAGTATAATTTATAGCAAATGTTTCACCTTCTTCTCTTGCCTTTTGTGAGGAGTATTTATACCTCAAATACTTATGATNGTAAGAAGAAAACACTGAGTATAATTTATAGCAAAGGTTTCACCTTCTTCTCTTGCCTTTTGTGAGGAGTATTTATACCTCAAATACTTATGATTGCTGTCAGTATGGTTAGTAGGTGATCATTAGATACAGACAACGTGTGCACTGATTCCTATGAGGAATGTCTTCTTTTTTAACTGCTTCAGATCCCGAGCAACCAAGGCTATGTCATCGGCCTACCGACTGTTCAATGAGCTCCTCTCGGCAAGGATGTAATAAATGTCCAGCCTTAGGGACATTTATTACTTTTCACTTCCGAGCCTTATCGCATTAAATGCTGTCTCATCAAGGGAATGATGTAATTAAACGTTTGCTTTCTCAAGTCATGTGTCAACAAGGGCATCNTCGCATTAAATGCTGTCTCATCAAGGGAATGATGTAATTAAACGTTTGCTTTCTCAAGTCGTGTGTCAACAAGGGCACTTTCTGTCTCTGATGTGACACAATATGCCACGTGTCCATTCCCCATTGGCTGTGTCCCCTGCCTTCTGACACCAATTGTGTAAGACGAGGTCATGATAGCTAACCTAACCTAGCCTAGGCTAGTGACCTGTACATCAATAGCCTCTGCAGGAGCAGAGAACGCTATCCTGGACAGAGGTACATCTCGGTACCGAGGGGAATTGACNTAGCCTAGGCTAGTGACCTGTACATCAATAGCCTCTGCAGGAGCAGAGAACGCTATCTTGGACAGAGGTACATCTCGGTACCGAGGGGAATTGACACATGTAGGACCAATGTACCCTATCCGTATGTAAACGTACTGGATGTCATTGATCTCTATGAACAGTACCTTAGGGGAACAGGGATNTGTAGGACCAATGTACCCTATCCGACCCCGAGGGATACGTGTCGGTATGTAAACGTACTGGATGTCATTGATCTCTATGAACAGTACCTTAGGGGAACAGGGACTTGTGATCCGACGGGTACGTGTCGCGTTTATAGGAGAAGAATTTAGTGACGCCGAGGACACGTGTTTTTATTTTGGAGTACTTGAAAATGTCCTATCAATTGCCCCCCAGCCTTTGATCTCCTGACACTGAGGACACGCGTCGTAAGGAGACGAAGGGTTCTGCAACTACCCCAACTGCTTTATCATTGCCTTCAGCCGCTTTCCCCTGCTTCGGAGGTCGTGCGCATTAAATGCATCTCTTCGTGCTTCGTGCCCAAATGATGGGGAGGAGTACTATATAAATGGGCTTCCTCTCTCCCCCTTTCACTTTGCCATTTTCAGAGAGCCATTGCCTGAAACCTCGCCGGAGATCCCTTTCCTTTCGTCGTCTACTGTCTAATCTTTCACCAGAATCTAAAGGCCAGCAGACCCATCCTTGCTTCTGACCATTCTGAAGGAAGGAGTCGCTTCAAGTTTCAAGAAAAAACTTCCTTTTACGTTTTGGTGAGTCCTTGTATCTTCCCTTTCTTCGCCCTCCGTCTCTTCTCTTCTTTTTGGTTTTTCGATAACTGGAGGCGTTTCTGGTTGCTACTCAGCGACCAATCCTCGGGAAGCCTCCTTGGGGATCTTCGTGAAAAAACCCCCTCGTTATTCACTGTTTATCACTTTTTGGAGATGCCCCGTCGTCGCCCTGCCCCTGAGAATCCTCAGACTAGTTTTTCGATGNATCGTAAGGAGACGAAGGGTTCTGCAACTACCCCAACTGCTTTATCATTGCCTTCAGCCGCTTTCCCCTGCTTCGGAGGTCGTGCGCATTAAATGCATCTCTTCGTGCTTCGTGCCCAAATGATGGGGAGGAGTACTATATAAATGGGCTTCCTCTCTCCCCCTTTCACTTTGCCATTTTCAGAGAGCCATTGCCTGAAACCTCGCCGGAGATCCCTTTCCTTTCGTCGTCTACTGTCTAATCTTTCACCAGAATCTAAAGGCCAGCAGACCCATCCTTGCTTCTGACCATTCTGAAGGAAGGAGTCGCTTCAAGTTTCAAGAAAAAACTTCCTTTTACTTTTTGGTGAGTCCTTGTATCTTCCCTTTCTTCGCCCTCCGTTTCTTCTCTTCTTTTTGGTTTTTCGATAACTGGAGGCGTTTCTGGTTGCTGCTCAGCGACCAATCCTCGGGAAGCCTCCTTGGGGATCTTCGTGAAAAAACCCCCTTATTCACTGTTTATCACTTTTTGGAGATGCCCCGTCGTCGCCCTGTCCCCGAGAATCCTCAGGCCAGTTCTTCGAGGCCAGGGAAGTATAAAGTAAAAGGGGACGAGCAAATTAATAGTTTTAGAGAACCATTGCCTGAAACCTCGCCGGAGATCCCTTTCCTTTCGTCGTCTACTGTCTAATCTTTCACCGGAATCTAAAGGCCAGCAGACCCATCCTTGCTTCTGACCATTCTGAAGGAAGGAGTCGCTTCAAGTTTCAAGAAAAAACTTCCTTTTACGTTTTGGTGAGTCCTTGTATCTTCCCTTTCTTCGCCCTCCGTCTCTTCTCTTCTTTTTGGTTTTTCGATAACTGGAGGCGTTTCTGGTTGCTACTCAGCGACCAATCCTCGGGAAGCCTCCTTGGGGATCTTCGTGAAAAAACCCCCTCGTTATTCACTGTTTATCACTTTTTGGAGATGCCCCGTCGTCGCCCTGCCCCTGAGAATCCTCAGACCAGTTCTTCGATGCCAGGGAAGTATAAAGTAAAAGGGGGCGAGCAAATTAATAGTTTTAGGGTCAAGTACAGCATCCCCCCATACGTAGACATAAAAGATTATGACTCAGCTGTGCATTCCCGTACCATCGGGGCCGAGGATGAGATGCCCTTTTATACCAAATCCGTCATAGAGGGTGAAATTAGGTTCCCTCTGCCCCCTCTACTCCTCCAGTTCCTCTCCCATTTCCATCTCTTCCCCGGGCAGTGTTGCCTTAATGTCTTCAGAATAATTATGGGAGTCATAGAGCTCAACAAGCGTCTCGGGGTAAATGTTGGGCTGAACGATATCCTCTTTTGCTACTCCCTCTTGAGAGTCATGCCCCAACAAAACTTCTACCTCAAAGCCAGGGACCCATCCATGTACCTCGTAACTCATCTTCCCGACTCGGACAAGGGGTACAAGGATGACCTATTCATCTTCAAGGGATCTTGGCAGAGGGGTGCGGGTCCTGAGTACAACGACTTGTTATGCCCTTTGGAATGGAGAACGACAAGTACGTCGGCTTCTTCGGGTCTATTATTTTGCTCTTGAGATTTTTTAATAGAGTCCATAACTCATTCCCCTCTCTTTTTGTTTGTGTGCAGACATCTCCTCTCGGGAAACAGCTTCTCCACCTCGGTCCTTGGTGAACTTTGCCGACCTAGTCACTGTTTGGAGATTTACTGGTGACGATGGGTTCGATCGGGCTGTCCACATTCTCCTAAATTATACTCCCAAATATAAAAAGTTTTCACAGCTTCCCCAGCCTTTCGAGCCTTCACGGTGGTCTGAACTCTTCGATCAGGCGGTGAGGCAAGAGGACGAGGAGAACTTGGAGGAAGACCCTGACCGAGCTTCGGAGGCAGAAATAGAGGGTAAAGTTGAAGAGATCGGGGTCAGAGAGGACTTGGTTCCTTCTCACGCCAAGGTGGGGACTTCGGGGAGAGATTCGTGGTCGGACTTCCAAATCCTACAATCCCTAGACGTCGAGGACGCCCTCGAGATAGCTATGTCTAGTACGCCCTGCATTGATCTGAGATTCTTGAGGCAGAGGCAAGCCCTCGCTGTCGGGCGTGGGCGTGGTCAACAAGCAGCCCCCCCACCTACAGGGACTAGCGCCACTCCACCTTTAAGGGCCGTTGGTCGGGGCCAAGTGCGCGACCGAGATCCTCAGGTCGAGGTGGAGAGGAGGATCAAACAAAGGAACGATGGCCTGGGCAGGGAATCCAGGGCTCCCTCCGCTCAGCAGCAAAGCGGGAGAGGCTGTGGGTTACCTCCTCCTCCACAGCATCAACAGCAGCAGCAGAGGCAACAACAGCAATAACAGCAGGATCAGACTCCCCCTCCCCTTCCTTAGACGGTGGAAACCGCGGAGTGGAATCCTCGGGCGATCGATTACATGAACCGAGTGATCAGGGTTGACGACTCTATTTTGCAGGACCCCCATGTTACCAACGCAGTGGGTGAGACGCTGCACTTCGAGGCTGACATGGTGGCTCACAGGGGGAGATCAACGAACGTGTTGTTTCGCTCTATCATCCAGAATTCTCTGGTGGTAAGTTCATTCTCGCTTCAGCCTTTCTAGCCGCT